GACTTTCAGTTGCTCAGCGGTGGCACTCGGACGTTCCCTTCCCCACTGGGGGACGGTTCGTCCGCGTCGGAGCAGCGGGGCAATGATTTTGCGGAAATGTCGTCCACTATCTGCGAGATCCTCTTCGCCCGGGGCCGTGAGTTTGCCTTCGAGAGTAGCGCCCCCTCTGGCCGTTATCCTAAGATTTGGGACCTCCCGTGTATGCAGCGCATGCGTCAGCGCAAGGCTGCTCGGGTCGTCCCGTTGCACATGTGTGCCTGGGGTCTTCAGCCTGAGGAGTGCACCCCCGGGCACTTCCAGTGGTTGGTGTCCCCGGGTCTCTATGCGTGGGTCCGCCTTTTTATCGCGCGTGCTTGTCCTGGGGTTTGTGGCGCTCAAGGGGCCCTCGCCGACTTCTCCCGGGGTCCCCGGTACTCGCGTCGCACAGCAGTATACTGTTGCGTTGTGCGCGGCGTGGGGCTTGGCGGTTCGCGCGGCCCATGAGCACTGGGATTGGAGGAGTGCCATGGCTGGGCGCCAGGTTCTCAGTGTGGCTGATCAGTTCCTAGCCGCGTGCCCTCACGCCGTGCCTGCCCCGTGCCTGAATTCCTGTGACCCGGGGCTCGTTTTCCCGTGGAGGGGGGGGGGGGGGCCNNGGGGCCAGCAGAACCGCCTTCGGATGAGAAGGGGGAGGGGGTCGGGGACGCTTCGCCCCAAAGGTGATGAAGGAACCGGGTAGGAGGCGAGACAGCAGGTGCTGTCGAGGCTGCTAGCCGTGATCTGACTCACTGTCAAGTTGAGTTCACTAAGGAAGCTGTTAATGAGGCCTCTCGGTTGGGGGCCTCCTTGTTGCTTGAGGCGGGGTCGGTTGAGCGTGCGGCGGAAGCTTTGAACGCTGCTCGGTTGCAGGGTTTGGGCAACCACCTTCACGCCGGTCAAGACGGCCACCTGGAGGGGCTCACCGATCTGCACCGGCACTATCTGCAGCAGCTAATGGTCGAACGAGGGGTACCGAGCAGACGGGAAACCGCACGCGTCCGAGAGGAGGCTCACAATCACGGGTCAGTTAGGGGTTATGAGGAGGAACTACTTGCCAAAGCGTGGAAGGACGCGGCTTATGGGGCCGCTCTCCTTATCGACCCGGCCCACGATGGAGTCGAACCGCTCCTTCTGGCGTCGCAGGTCGCGGAATCCCCATTGGGACGGGTGCCTAAGCAGAACCCGGATAGGACCATTTCCAATGAGGGACGCCCGATCAATGACATGAGGCGTCAGAACGAGGGAGGATCTAAGTTTAACCACCCCCCCGCTCCTCAACCGAGGCATCAGAGCGTGGCCCGGCAGTCCTTGTGGTGGAGAGCCCGGCACCCGAAGGTGCCCCAGAGATGTGCAAAGCGCGACGTCCCTCGGGCTTTCAAGTGGCATTTTCTGGATCCGGCGGACGTGCCCGAATTTGCGGTTCGCCTTGCAGGTCTGCTGATCATCAGTCTTGTGATGCCCTTTGGTTGGATCGGCTCCCCAGGAGACTTTGTCGCATGGAGCACCGCCGCGAAGCTTCACCACAGTTGCTTTAGACCCCCAAACCCCGAGTTCAATGACACGATGAATTACTAGTCTAAGTGGCTTATGGATGACGGGGTGGTCCTCGAACCCATGGTGGGTAACCGCGTGTTTCACTCCCTTGCTTGTCTCGACCAGGCCATGATCCAGACTTGGGGCCCAGAAGGGGTCAACGCGGAGAAGATGGCGGAAGAAGGGGAACCTTCCCGAACGCAACTGCTCTGGGGGCTGTATATGGACTTTGATGCTCAGCTAGTGTCTCTCCCCGAGCCCAAGAGGATGAAAGCTAAGTACCTTTTGGCAGACCCGGCTTTTGCCCGCGGGTGTCGGCAGGTGCCCGTCCGTTTGCTTCAGGAGCTGGTAGGGTGTGCTCAGTACTGGACAGTGGTTTGCCCTGAATTGACCCCCCGGTTGCCCGCTATGTATGCGTTGCTCGCCGGGAGAAGTACGAAGACTAAGGCCGCCCCTGAGGACCTTGCCTTTCCGCCCGTGGAGGACCAGCAAGCCGCAGAAGCCGTGTGGGACGACTTTTGGAGGACACTGGACTTCATACGGCTCCAGTTGGAGCGCCCGCTAACCGTTAGCTTCCAGGCCTCATTCTTGCGGCTGATCCCCCTAAGGGAACGGCTTTCCCTCCCTGGGGCGGCGGCCCGTACTCGGATCGTTGGGGGTGACGCAACGCTCACCAGGTTCGGGAGCCTGGACTGGAAGGCGAAGACTTTCGCTGTCGAGGACACTTCCCGGTTTGTGACGCAACTTCAGGCCCTGCATCCGACCCTTGATCACGCAGAGATCATTTCCAATATGGGGCTCCTGGCGTTCGTAGGTTTTGCCTCGCATGTGTCAGCCCAGTGGAGAGGTGAGGTCGTGTTCTACGTCACGGACAACGATAACGTCCGTTCTTGGCTGAACAAACACCGGCCCAGGAATCGATTTGCCAGGACCTTGGTTTGCTTGGTGCAGAGGCTGGAGGCGGAGCAGGATTTTTCCTGTTCCGCAGTCTATATCCGGACTTATCGGAACACCACCGCAGATTGGGTGTCCCGTGACGCCGTCCCCCAGGTGGTTGATGCCCTCGTGCGCGAAGGGTGGGGGAAAGTAGAGCTGGGCCCCTCTTGGCAAAATGCCCTTGAAGGGGCCGAGCTGGCTCCCCTGGCGCTCCCGAGGGAGATGACCCCCTCGCTCAGACTGCGAGGCAGCTTGCAACTCCTCCAGTAGACCTCTCAGCCGCAACACGAAGTGTGGCTGCAAGGGGCCTGTGGACAGTAGCCACGTGTGTCCCCACTCGCCTCGACAGTGCAGCCATTGCGCTGGCCCAGTTCGGTCAACCCCTTCTGTCAGCTGAAGGAGCGCGTTTCTTGTTTGCATCCCTCTCTCAGGACCCGCAGCATATGGAACGGGATCGTCTGCATCGGGCCGTGGCCTCAGGAAGGAAGCTGGTACTGGTGGTGGTTGATGGACCAAGGCAGCTTCACCCCTTGAATCTTGACCTGACACAGGATGGTTGGAGAAAGGTATGGGGCGGGGTTTACGTCACCAGTCACCTTGGGTCCCTTTCGGCAAGGCGTCGAGCGTTGGAAGTTTGGGCCCGAGGGAAAGGGCCTAGCGCCGGGTTCTTCCTCGAGGGCTACCGGTGTCAGACCCAGCCCCTTCCCTTAGTATGCTGCCCCTTGATCGGAATCCCCCTCTAATTTCAGTGCCGGAAGAGGAACCTGTGATTCAGGAGCCTTCCCTCGTTACCACGGGGGATAAGTGGCTCCCACACCTCTGGGGCCACTGGAAGCATGGGCAACAGAGGGTGCTGTTACACTCCCCGTCTGGCCCCGCGTGTGCCTTCACCGGAAAAAACGATCCTCTTAAAGGGTTTGGAGGCACGCTGCTCCCGGCTGAGGGCGGTGGAGTCCGCGCCCTGACACCAGGGGAGATTGATCGCGCTCAAGGGGTGCGAGACCCGCTCGAGACCCTGTTGGCTGGTGGGTCAGGCGATTTACAAGAGCTCATGTCTCAAGTGGTGGTCGGACCAGGGTGGCAAGCTGCTTCGGCGCTTATAGGCCTCCTTGAGCTGCATTGGGGGTCTGGGTCTCCCCAGGAAGCCAAGGCTGGTAACTGCCTGGACCCGTAGAGGTCTGGCTGCATGCGTGGAGACGGAATCCAAACGCTCCACGGAATGAGCTGGAGTTGTTACCCGCCAGTTATCGGGACCCCTTAATCCTCCCCTCCTCGGAGGAGGAAGCGGGGGAGTTCCGATGCGGGGGCCCTAATCGTGCTGACCCGGCAGGGACGCCGACCGAAGGAATTGGCAGGGAATGTCCCTGCGCCGTCTCGACGTCCTTGCCCAGGAGGCGGTCATGGCGAAGCCTGCTGCGTCAACGCGCCAGTCCTATGGGACTGGATGGAAGCAATGGCTCATCTTCATGTCGGGCACAGGCCAGGGGCCCTCTTGGAGACCAATGAGGAGAGGCATGCCGACGAGCAATGGCTGATTCGTTTTGTGGTGTTCTCCCACGAACAGATGGGTAGGACCGCACAGGGCATCAGGCAGAGGTTGTCAGCGGTGCGTTACGCCCATATTGCTTCCGGCTTTCCGAAGGCCGAGCTCGCTTGTGGGCCGCTCTTCAAGGCGTCTCGTGATGGGAAGGACCTAAAAAGCGTAAGGTCCCGGTTACCCCGGAGATGCTGAGGTGGATTCACGCCCATCTAAGGTCTAGCGATCGAAGGTCCGATGAGAAAGCAGCTTTGTGGGCGTCCGTGTGCCTTGGCTGGTTCTTTATGCTGAGGGCTTCAGAGTTTCTCCCTCCCCCTAACCTGCTTCATGCCGAAGCAAGGGTGTTGCGAGGGGCGGACTTGGAGTTCCTGCGGGAGGGTGACTCTTGCTCCCTTTGGGAGGCAACTGCCGTCGCCCTTCAGCTCCGCCAATCGAAGGCCGATCAATTCGGCCGGGGTCAGGTCAGGGTTCATCACGCTACAGGGGGCCCGATTTGCCCCCTTGAGGCGCTGAGGGACCATGCGCGCCAAAACCCCGCTTGGGTATCTGATGCCTCCCTCCCCGTTTGCGGGTGAAAAGGGAGAGGGGTGTCTCGGGAGGACCTCTCCTACCTCCTGAAAGTAGCCGGCATTGTCTTGGGCTACCCCCAAGAACTGGTGGGCTCACACAGTCTGCGTAAGGGGGGAGCCACGGCCCTGCTGGCGGCCACAGACAATTTAGAGCTGGTAAAGCGGTTCGGGGGGTGGAAATCGGATGCCGTTCATCTCACATGCTTCAGTCCCAGCCCGTCTTGCAACCGCAGCAGGGAGTGACACGAGGTAGAGCCCGTAGCATGCCTGCACCGCCTCTGACAGGAAGTGATTGCCGTGCTGGTTGTGCACAGGACGAGCTTGTTAACCCGTTGCAGCCTTTCTCTGCCCGAGAATTGTGTTGTGGGACGCTCCGCCCCGTAGTGGATTTCCTCATTGCCAGAGCCATGGCTGGCGATGCACCAGAGGACTTTCCGATGCCTCCGGACGCGGATCTGGAGGGAGCTACGTGGTCGTCCCGGAGGATGAAAGATTGGCTCCGCAAGGGACGCAACGCCCATGGGTCCTCGGCTTCAGCCCCGGTGCCCGTGAAGGAGGTTGTCCGCGCTTTTCGTCGGCTTTCCTTGCGGCTCCACCCGGACAAGCAAGGTGGACGCAGCCCGAACGAGCAAGTGGCTGCCGCGGAGGAATATCTGGCCATCTCTCAGGCCGGGATATTCTCACGGAACCCACCATGGCGGAGCTCCACGATTATTTAGTGGGGCGACAGGCGGCTGGAGGCTGGTCCGACACCGAAGAGGAGGAGTCGTCGGACGCAGACTTCAACAGTGGGACCTCGTCGGGGAGCTCGAAGCCACCCCCTTGGGCGGGACAGCCTGGTCCTTCTACGGGGAGCGCCACTCCGCCCCCCTTCTGGTTGCCCGAAGCCACCACCTTGGTCCGGCGAAGGGTGGAGGGAAGGGACACGCCAGTGCGTTCCATTACGGCCAATAATCACCAAGACTCGGCAGAGCAATTTGTTACGGCCTATCACGGTCAAGAATGGAAATTCGCGTCAGCCGTCCTCACCTCGCATAAAAACTTCTGTCTTGGTGGCTTTTTCTGGCCCACTCTTGGCCGTAACAAATCGTACTGCCGGGTCTTGGTGGCTCTTTCTGGCCCACTCTCGGCGCCGCAACAAATCGTACTGCTGGGTTATGGTGGCTTTTGCTGGCCCACTCTTGGCCGTAACAAATCGTCCTGCCGGGTCGCCTACTCTTGGCCGTAACAAATCGTACTGCCGAGTCATGGTGGCTTTTTCTGGCTTAGTCTTGGTTGTAACAAATCGTACTGCCGGGTCTTGGTGGCTCTTTCTGGCCCACTCTTGGCCGTAACAAATCGTACAACCGGGTCTTGGTGGCTCTTTCTGGCCCACTCTTGACCGTAACAAATCGTGCTGCTGGGTCTTGGTGGCCATTTCTGGCCCACTCTCGGCGAGGTAACAAATCGTACTACCGGGTCTTGTGGCTCTTTCTAGCCCACTCTTGGCCGTAACAAATCGTACAGCCGGGTCTTGGTGGCTTTTTCTGGCGCATTCTCGGCCGTACTAAATCGTAGTGCCGCGTCTTGGCGGCTCTTTCTTGCAGCTCTTTCTGGCCTAATCTTGGCCGTAACAAATCGTACTGC